AGCCGGCGGGCGGGCGGGAGGGGGACACCGGCCTCACCGCTGCCGCCACCCCCGCAGCCTCGGGGAGATCGAGGGTGGGGATGGAGGAGACGGAGCTCTTCTCCCCCCCCCGCGAGTATCGCGGGTCCCCCTCTTGTACTTTCTAAAAACACTTGGCAGGCGCCAGGAAAGGTGCCGGCGTGCACCAAAGTACTCACAGGAACCTGGTTGGGGACCATGGTTTAAATCACTGGGCTACAAGTTTATGAGGGGGCCTGTTCAGTTGTGCTTGGCTGTTCAGAAGAGGTAATTTGTGTCCGAAGATAGTGGGTGTGCTGGGAGACACCCTCCTCTTTCCCGCACAGCCCTAATAATAGAATTTGACGTAAGAAGGAAGTCTAAAACACTCACGGATTCCAGGGCTGCTTTTTGGAAACTAAATAGACTACCTTGTTCTCTTCCACACAGTGTCACATTAATACTTATGCTTTGCTTCAATTCTGTTTTTAGACTTCTGGTCGGTTCTGCATCTCTAATCCTATTGCATTGCTTATTGAATGTCTCCTCTGTCGATTGTATTGACTCCCTCTGCGTAATCTGCCTTGAGTCCAAGTGAGAAAGGTGGACCTTAAATAACATTAGTAGATAAACAGGGTGTTTCCATAGTTCTGGAATCCTCTAAGAAGAGGTTTGGAGGCAATTGGGGGTGCTGGAAAGAGAGCAAGCTAAAAAAGGTAAACGTGCACACTCCTTCCAAAGGGTGGCAAATGCCTGGAGTCCAAATCCTGTGTGCCAAAGCTGGTCCCACACCTTCCTTAGGCCAACAGTAGCCAGGACTGAGTGCACAGGCCTGTCAGGAGTTGCACCTTGGTTCAGTCTGTATTTATGCCAACAAGAGAGCCAGTTTGGTGTAGTGGTTAAGTGCACGGACTCTAATCTGGGAGAACCGGGTTTGATTCCCCACTCCTCCACTTGCACCTGGCTGGATTACCTTGGACAAGCCATAGTTCTGGCACAGCTGTTCTCGAAAAAGAGCAGTTTCTGTCAAGAGCTCTCTCAGCCCCGCCTACCTCACAGGGTGTCTGTTGTGGGGAGGGGAAGGGAAAGGAGTTTGTAAGCTGCTCTGAGACTCCTTTGGGTAGTGAAGGGCAGGATATGAATCCAATCTGTTCTCTTCTTCTTCTTTCTGAGGGCAGTCAGTGCCCTCCTGTCCATGGCTCTGTGAATATGGGCCCACGCTTCCACAAGGGCCCCATGTAAGCCTGCATTGCTGCACAGCATATAGAATTCAGTATCCTGACTTCCATTTTGAAAAAAAACTTCTAGCCCTCATAAATTGTGAAGATAAGCCATGAGGGTGCATGTGTACCAATAAACCCTATGGCATGTCTTCACAGTTGTCAGGGCTAGAAACTGTAAACAAAAGATCAGTCAAAGCTGAAGGGTTCTCGGCAGAATGTTGGCTTCTGTGGTCTGTTGACTCCTCACCTGTCCTCATGGTGGACCAAGCGGGATGAATTCCTTCCAAGTGAGCGAGGCTTTGTGCGCACTGAACATCTCTAGAATATCAGGAAGGCTGTCGTGTGCGTGTATGGTTGCCCTTCTTCTGATTCTGTTTGCTGCCTGTTTCCTCCCCAAGATCCAGGATGAGGGCGTGTTGCAGCTCTTGTACGAGGAGGCCAAATACAACATCCTGGAAGGGAGGTACCCCTGCGACCCGGCAGACTGCGAGATGCTGGGAGCCTTGGTCTGCCGGCTGAGCTTGGGCCCCTGTGACCCGGACCGGCACACGGCCTGTTTCCTGAAGTAAGTGGGGTCAAGGAGGGCAGACGAGTGGAAGATCAAGATGAGTAGCCATGTTAGTCTGTCTGTAGCAGTAGAAAAGAGCAAGAGTCCAGAAGCACCTTAAAGACTAACAAAATACGTGGCAGGGGATGAGCTTTCGTGAGTCACTGCTCATATCTGAAGAAGTGAATGGTAACTCATGAAAGCTCATTCCCTGCCACGTATTGGGTGCGTTCAGACGCGCCGTTTGATCTGGTGTCGTGACAGTTCAGCAACGGATTTTATATGCACGATCACACAGTCAACATCTGCCCCCCCCCCGTCCCCAGCTGTTGGTTTCTGGCTCAAAACCGCTCTAACCTGGAGTATTTTGTTACCAGGTCCCAAAGTGGTGTTTTCACAGCTCTCCCGTTCAAAGCCGCATTTTCCCCCTGTGTGATCACTCCCCTGGTGTCAAGCCACTTCTGGTTTAAACCCCCTCCCCACTCAAAAGCTGCCCAAGGCTTCTGCTTTTCGCCTGCCTTTTTTTTTTTTTAGCGTTGGCAATGTGCGCATAGGTGGAGCTCCGCTACCATGTTTAGAAAACCAACATTTTAACGGTCACTTGTTTTAGAGTTTAGATGAGTTCGGGATCTCACGGAGGCCATTTTCGGGTCAAACGTTTAAAGGGAAGTCTTTTGTTGGAGGGGTTGGATTGATTCGCCCTGGTGGTTCTGTGCATGCGCCATGGTAGTTTCGCCCCCCCATTCTCCGGATGAGTGCTGTCACGGCTCAGGTGGGGTGTCACCTGATGCTGCCACCACTCTGGATTTAGCAGCCTTCCTTCTGGCTCTGCCCTCTGGGAAGAAGAACAGCTTTTCTTGCTGCTCCAGACGTTTTATTCCAAGCCCTCCTCTTTTCCTGTTGGTCAGTTTTGGCTCCGAAACCTCTCAGGGGCTTCTGGGAGTTGTAGGCCCAGCCTCACCTACTGCTAGCCAGGCTTCTTGGGCCTAGTAGGCCTCTGGTGGCACAGGCCAGGTCATGACAAGTGCCTATGTGCATGAGCAAACTGAGGGAAAAAAAATTAAGAACCACCTACACACGCTCCCGCGTATAAGGGAGGTAAATGTGATCGCAATTATCCAGATCAAAAATAATCCGGTCAGAACCGGAGCAGTTTAACCCTTCTCAGCATGCCATCTGACCGCACCCGTTTTGTTAGTCTTTAAGGTGCTACTGGACTCTTACTCTTTTCTACTATAACTAATAAGATTAACCTAAATAACGGTGCTCATCTTAATACGTTACAAATCAGATTAATTAAAACTGTTAAAAACTCCGATTAGCTATAAACTATTATTGAGGAAACCATAATTCACTAGTGTAACGTATCTGTATAGTATCCCTTAATGCACATAGGCTTTACTAAGAAAGTTATAGAAGGAGTAGATCTACTGGGGCCGAGCTATTGGTAATCTGTATCCTGATGAAAATGTTTTCTCAAGGACCCGGTTCTCATTGGATTGTGCCAGGTCTGTGCCTGTGCCAGTCAGTTGATAGAAAGGTAACAGGTGATGGAAGCCGTGATCCAGATGAAAGCAATGATCCAGTGCCCAAAGCAAAATGAGTTACTCCTGAAAGAGTGGGGAACACACTTCTCAAGCTATAAATTTCTTCCTTGAGCTGTCCCCACCCACGCTTCAGTGCTGCCAAGAGACTTTTACTCTCCACGACTTGCAGTCTCTCTTTCTCAAGCTCAGAAATGCATCAATCTTTTGTTCTTTAAAAAAGTGACCTGTCACAGCACCTTTTGAAAGGAACCACCTCACGTTTTGCCTCTTAGAAACAAGTATTACTAACGGCCAAACTGCACATTACAGCAGACACAGGTCCAGCCCTAGCAGCATGGCCACATTTTCCTCTAAAATGGCATCGGCAGCCATGGTTGGACCCATGTCTGCTGTATCATGTAGTTTGACTTTAAGAGCCTTGCCTCCTCATCTCTAGCTCCTCACGCTTGCTCAGGCCTTTGCAGCACAGAGCAGGTTCTGGGTTAATATACCTGAAAATGTTCCACAGGTGTAGTCTAACCATGCAGCTGGATGGCAGAAAACCCTCTTTACAGAAGCATTGTGATCCAGATGCAGCTGACTGTCTCCAAGTGAGACACCCGGCCTGGGCCATTCACCCTTGAAACTTGCTTCTGGGCATGCCAGATGCTCTTTGTTGGGTGATCTCATGGCAGAAGAGCATCTTGGATCTGTGCGCAGCTGTGCCTTGAGCTAAGAGCGGGCCAGGAGATTGACGGCAGCAGCTGATGATGATGGTGCCTGGAGCTAGGACTTGGGAACAGTCTGCAACCAGCTTGGCCTTGAGGAATGCAAGCCTGGCTGGGATCTTGGGGCTGTACAATCCCCCATTGTCCCTTCCAGGGTGGTGTAGAATAAAGCCCCCGCAGTCAGGCAGCCAAGTGGTATTTTATTAATGGCTCCATGGGTGTAGTTGTCCGTGTCGTTCCAACACAGACTCACTATTTTGTAGCTTAGCGGGAAGATGCTCCTGAAAGCCTTGGGAAAGGAGAGGAATGAAAAACGCAGGGGCAGGGTATTTAGGAACTAGCGGGGGTCCTGCTCTCTTCACATGAGCAAGGGCAAAGTGGGCGTGCCTTGCTTCTGTTTCAGCCACAAACGCTTCTTGTGTACCAGAGTGCCTCCCATTTCTCCTAGAGGAGTGGGGTGAAGTCCCAGAACTCTTCCGGCGTCTGCTTTCCAGAGGGGAAGTGATCTGATAGCGGATGTAGATGGACAGGAAAGCAAAGGTTGTGTGGGCCCCTCTCTATGTAAAGTACATATGAACAAATGACAGAAGGGGAGATGTAAGCCAGCGTTTCTCAAACTGGGGGTTCTGCAAGGGTACCCCCACAGGGGCGACCAGTGAGTCATGCCCTTCCTTTTTGACAGGCAGGGAGGGAGACCCTTTCACACCTGCCCTTTTAATGCTTTGTCTGCCATGGTAAATGGTGGCTGTGTGTGTTAGGCGCTATCAGGTGGCTCCCAGTGTATGGCCACCCTCTGAATTAATGTCCTCCAGAGCATCGTATCATTAACAGCCTTGCTCGGGTCTTGCCATGGCTACCTTTACTGAGTCAAAACAGTGGCTGTAGTCTGGCGAAAATGCCCAGGATGGCAGCCTACTGTGGCATCTACTTTCCTCTCAAGACTTCTGGTCCTCCCAAGAGTATTGGGGCCTCCAGGGGGCATGCCAAGCTTGCTGTGAACACTTTGCAAAGGGTTGGTAGAGACAGCTGCAGAGCTGATGCTTTGCCTCCTTCCTTGAGAAACTGTGTGTGTGTGTGTGGGTCAGATTGGAAGAGCAAGGAGTAGGTGCAGTTATCCTTCAGGTGTAGTTCTCTGGCACATGGATGGAGTTGAAAAGGAGGGAGAGGGTGGGGTCCGGGGAGTTGTGAAAATTTTTAAATCAAGATGGGGATCTTTGAGTTGTTAAAATTTGAGAACTCCTGATGTGGATGCTTTGAGGAAAAGCATTTGCTCTCACCCTCATCTCCCCCCCCCTTTCAGGCTTTATTCACAGGGATGTTATAGCCCCATGCTTGCTGCTGACGTGGCTCTGGTCTGCCGATTTAACTGCTTGTGTGAAACTGTTGGGTCTAGCATCATAGAGTTGGAAGGGACCTCAAAGGTCATCTAGTCCAAGCCCTGAACAATACAGGAATTTCACAAATACCTCCCCACACGCACCCACACACACACAGTGACCACTGCTCCATGCCGTAAAGGTAAAGGTTCCCTTGCTCGAAAGCCAGTTGAATCCAACTCTAGGGTTGCGGTGCTCATCTCCGTTTCAAAGCCGAAGAGCCAGCGCTGTCCGAAGACGTTTTTGTGGTCATGTGGCCGGCATGACTAAACACCAAGGCGCACGGAACGCTGTTACCTTCCCACCGAAGTGGTACCTATTTATCTACTTGCAATTTCTTGCTTTCGAACTGCTAGGTTGGCAGGAGCTGGAACTAGAGATGGGAGCTCACTCCATCATGCGGCATGCCTAGAAGATGACAAAAAATCTCCAGGATCTCCAGCCGAACTGGCCTGGAGAAAAATTGCTTCCTGACCCCAAAGCGGTGATGAGCATTTCCCTGGGCATGTAAGAAAGGGCCACAAGAACTAAGCACTAGTTAGACTTTGGGGAATTTCACATTACCCAGTTTCACCCGGTTTCAAGCCGGTAATGATCCGTTTTGAAGTGAACCGGTATAGGGCTGCCATTTCACACATTGCTTTCCCCTTTTGGTAAAGAGCTGGATCTGAAGCAGTTTGCCATTTCAGACTGCACCGCTTTTTCCCGCTTTTCCCCTGCCGTTCTTCGCCCGTGTGGGCGATCTCCAGGTTTTTTTTTTTTTAACATTCGCTTTAGAGCACTATAGCACTATAGCAGTATACCAAAACACTCCATGCATTCCAATGGGATTGATATAATGCTATTCCGTTATAGCGCTATAGCGTTATAAAAAGCGACCATTAAAAAAAACAACCTGGAGATCGCCCGCATGGGTGAAAAACGGCGGGGAAAAGCGCATCGGAACCGGGAGAGGAAACTGAGGAGTACTTGGAAGCGGTTGACAGGTAAAAACGCTTCAGCCCCGTTTCCTAAATGGGACAGAAGCAATTGTGTATGAAATGACAAATATATTCTGGAAGGGAACCGGTTCTCAAACGGTTGTCTAAAATGACAGACCAGAAACCGTTTGGGAACCGTTCCTCTTCCGGAATATATCGCCTGTCTGAAATTCCTCTTTGTCTTCACCACTAAGACAGGTGCTGTTCAGCCAAAATGTGGCATGGGGAAGGGCTGTGGCTCAGTGGTTGAGCATCTGCTTGGCATGCAGAAGATCCCAGGTTCAATCCATGACATCTCCAGTTAAAAAAAACCCACGAAGAATCTGGCAGTAAGTGGTGTGAAAGACCTCTGCCTAAGACCCTGGAGAGCTGCTGCCAGTCTGAGTAGACAATACTGACTGATCACCCAAGGGTCACATTTAGTATAAAGCAGTTTCATGTGGGCCTGGCTTATGATCCATATAGTATCACACTCATCTCTGCAGCAACCGCACCTCTTCCTGATATGTTAAAGCGCCTGATAATCAAGAGGTCCAGAGCATTTTTTTGTTGTTGTTAACTTTGTTTATACCTTGTTTTTCCCCCGATAAGGACCCACAGTGGCTTTCATCATTCTCTTCTCTGTTTTATGCTCACAAACATCCCTTTGAGGTAGGTTAGCATGAGAGTATGGGACTGGCCCAAAGTCATCCAGCGAGTTTCTGTGGCAAGAGTGCAGATTCGCACCTGGGTCTAGCAGATCCTACTCCAACACTATCCACTCCACCACACTGGCTCTGAAAGCAATTAGAATCATAGAGTTCAGACGGGCCATACAGGCCAATTAGTCCAACCCCCTGCTCAATCTCTAATAAGTGTTTGTCCAGCCACTGCTTGAAGACTGCCAGTGAGGGGGTGCTCACCACCTCCCTAGGCATTTGATTCCGCTGCTGAACTACTCGTACAATAAAAAAGGTTCCTGATAATCCAGCCAGTACCTTCCCGCCCATAATTTAAACCCATTATTGCGAGTCCTGTCAGCTGCTGCCTACAGGAACAGTTCCTTACCCTCCCCTAAGTGAGAGCCCTTCAAATTCTTACAGAGGGCGATCATGTCCCCCCTCAACCTCTTCTCCAGACTGAACATTCCCAAGTCCCTCAGCCTTTCCTCATAGGGCTTCTTGGTCTCCAGGTCCCTGGTGTGAACCTAAGCATATGAAATGGATTTCTCTGCATGGGTCAAACTGTAGTCGTTTCCGTCAGGGAGATTCCTCAGGTAGGGATAGGGCTGGTTTCCTGCCCTGTGCCAAATGGGTTTTCTCTTCCCAGGGAGAAGTTGGATTCCTTCCTGCCATCCCATCTCTGCCGAAGAGGACATGGTCTCTTTTCAGCCCTGTGGAAACGTGGGGCCCAGCCACCTGCCTATGAGCAGGGCCTGCTACATGCCTACCAGATGGTGCCCGAAGACAGGGCCTGTGAGGAAAATGCTGCCCTGCAGAGACATTACCATGCCTACCTGCAGAAGTGCCATGAACTGCCTTACTACGGGTAGGTTTGCTTGCTCTGGGGCCATGGGAGGGGAAGGAAGAAACTGTGTGTGTGTGTGGGGGGGGTGATAGAGATGTTGAGAACTTGGATGAAGGCGCAAAAATAGTCACAGACAAAGCTGTTTTCTGCGGACTTTTAGTTTTTTAATGGCAAAACTGGGAAATTTAGGGCAGCATTAACATTTTTTGGTTTTGGAGCTTTTGCTCCTTTAGAACAGGGGTTCCCGACATGGTCCCCGTGGGCTCCATGGTGCCTCCTCACACCTTCTCTGGTGCTCACCAAGTGCTTTTAGAATGTGGGCGTGGCTAAAGGGGGCCTTTCCCCAACAGGTCCGTGAAGATTAAAAGGCATCCTCTTAAACAGAGTTTCTGCCTGAAATGCTGAAGCGTTACTGTTAGAGTTGACCTCACTCCCTGACATTTTGTGGTTGGCCCCACCTCCTGCAGCAGCCTTTTTGTGATTGTGCCCACTGCCCTTTGTCAGAATTCTGAAGGTGCCCAGAGGCACAAAAAGGTTGGGGACCCCGCTTTAGAACATACAGTGAGAAATTTTGCAAAACGATCTGCATCTGATAACGGTAATTGTTAGGTGTCCTGTAGACATGTACAACTTATTTCCGAGCATACATATATTGTTTAAATGTGAATAATATCTGGCAACAGTCCATAAGCTGTAATTGTTAAAAGAATTCAGTGTTTCCAACGTTAAACGCTGTAAACGTGTATGTACCTAGTTCTATTGTGACCAGGTGAAACAGTCGCTGTCCAAATAACGTACTTTCTTTTGTTTACTGCAAAAAAAGAGCTGAAATTAGAAAGCGTCTATTTTTTTCTACCTCTCAGACAGCAAATGGATAAGATTCAAGCGCTAAGAGTAAGATAATGTGCAGCAACAATTTGCAGCATTCCTTCAAGTGCCTGGGTCACTAGGCATTTCTGCTTGTAGAAAACAAAAGGCATTTGTTCTTTTGAACTCTGCAAATATGCTGAGTGGCGTCATTTCATGATGTCACTTTATGCCATTAAAGTGGTAACATAAGTTTAGATTCAATAGGAAAGTATTGCATATGTTTCAACTCCCCCATTTTATGGGAAATGACCTCCCCACACACACAATTGCAGAATTGCTGGAATTTTACATCTCTAGGGGAGTATAAATCAGTGGCAAAACATGCTACCAGGGAAGGGAAGGCTTTCTAAAGCAGTTGGTATGGTCTCCCAGAGCACTTCCTTATTTTACGAATGGAGAATTGTAGGCTGATTGAGTTGGCTGACGCCGTGGTGCCCCATGGGCAGTGCATTGCAGGATTCTCTTGTGTTCCGATGAGCACAGGCCTCTCTTCCTGCTCTATTCCTGTGTTCTAACCTGGGATCCTTCTCTGCCTCTCCCCCCCCCCTCCCCCCAACCCCAGCTGCTCTTTTTTCTCTGGGGAAATCGACAAGCCAGTTCAGGGCATCTTGCATCGAGGAGGGCGCAAAGCTGTCTCAGTCGCCATCAGCCTGGAAGGAGTGTATATCATCGACAGCAAGGAGAAGGTACCTGCTTTGTGGTGAAGACTGCCTGTTTTATAAGTGAAGGTGACCTCTGGGGCCGGTTCCAGGTTTTTTTTGGGGGGGGGGCTGGGCAGACAGTGCCCAGAGCCCTCCTGTGCCCACTGCCAGGCCCCTCTTCTTGTCCATCCACCCACCCACCAACTTGCTTTATGCATCATTCTTCTGCTGACTTGCAAGCTCCCCCAACCTCTACAGCAGGGATGTCAAACGTAAGGCCCGAGGGCCAGAACTGGCCCATCCAGGGCTCTTACCCAGCCCGCAAGCAACTGATATGTATGGAAATGTAAGGTACTCCCCCTTTTATGGTATCCCTTGGGGGAAAAAACAAGTCTTGCATATGATTAAATACATTTATTGGGGCTTTTGTGGGTTCCCCAGTACATCAATCGCTTTCACTGCTAGGAATGAACTGCTTTTGTTTGCATTTTGAGTTTAAAAAATTATATTGTTAATTGGGTTTGCCTGTGTCCTTTATAAATGGTGTTACATTTTATGGCACACATGGCCCAGCCCGACAAAGTGACATTTACGTCAGATCTGGACCCCATAACAAATGAGTTTGACACCTCTGCTTTACAGACATAGCTGCCCACTCTGCCTGCGCGCCCTTTCCCCAACGATGCTGGATGGCGTGTGCAGCTAGGAGTGCCACTGCCAGGGCCACCAGGAAGGCTGATGTTTTGTGCGCTACCCACATGCCCTTCTCCAGCAGCAGGAGGGAGCACGTACAGCTGGGCGCCCAGATGACAAAGCTCTCCCAAGCAGGCAGTGGGGGGGGGTGAGTGCTGCATCAGAAGAGACGTTTGAGTAGGGATTCATGGGCAGTGGGCCCTGGCTGCTTCAGACTATGCGGATGCGGACCCTGAGGACGCCCTACTGAGGCTTACTTTGAAAAGGGCAGATTTCTTCCCCTCTGTCCTGAAGCCTCCACTGTTGCCTTTGATAGGGGTGGGGAGGAACATGCATTCCACATGGCATTCATTAGGAGGGGTGCGCGGCCAAATTCTTGCAAGAAGATCTGCCTATACTGCATCTCTGGGATTTAGGAAGTGTCTTCCCTGCAACGACTGACTTGACTGTGGTTTCCTATAGCATGTGGCTTGGCTTACTAGCTCGAGCCACCTGTTCTGCAAACCTCTTTTTACAAACTGTGCTCTTGGGAGAGGGGGGTATTGCACAATCTGTGGCCGTGATTGCGGATGGGTGTATGGGAAGGGGGAGGCTGACAAATAGAGGGAGAAGTGATGCTTTTCCCAATTGCCTTCCTGTTCCATCTTGTGACGTGTCCCCTTGACCCACCCCCTGTGCTCTCTCCCACACTTCAGCTGTCTGTCTCTGTCTCTCCCGGGCAGCATGTCTTGCTTGGCCTGCACTTCCAGGAACTGTCCTGGGATCACACCTTCCCCAGCGAGGAGGAGCACATCCTGTGGCTGGAGTTCGACGGCGAGAATGAAGGCACGGCTGTCAACAAGCTGCTGAAGGTCTACTCCAAGCAGGTATGGGGTGCTGTCTGTAGCCTGTGATGCTAGGCATGGGAGTGAAAGGAGTCTGCTCTAAGCTGGAGCTGCTTCCAGTACAAGGCTAGGAAGTCAGGTGTGCGCAGAGGGAGCCTGCCCCTTACGCCCTCTGCAGCGGGAAAGGACTTAATGTCTGTCTGGCCACTCCTGTTTACTTTGCCCCTACATTGAGAAGCATCCCAAATGCCTCTGCACCAAGTAAGGGAGGATGGAGGAGGCAGTAGTGGGGGTGGGTGGGCAATGCTGTCTTCTAGAGTAGCCTGGCTCAGGAATCTGCAGGGGGAATGCCAGTTTTCTTTCTTGCCTTGTTACAGGCAGAACTCATGAGTGGCCTGATCGAGTATTGCATAGAGCTGAACGCAGCTGCTGAGGGGGCCACTCAAGACCTGGCTGGCAGTCCGGCTTCTCCTTCCGAGCCCCAGAGCCCCCCTACTCGCAGGCAGCACCCCAAGCTGCAGCGGCAGAACAGTGTGCTCTGCAGCCGGATCCAGCACCTTTCCACCATAGACTACATTGATGATGGTAAGGTGGCCAAAGTGTTTCCTTTGGGATGGGTGGATGGAATACCTGTTGTCTTCCTCAAGAAATTACCGACAGAGAGCAGGAATTTGAATTTGTGAGCATGTCTAGCTGACTGGCTATGGTAGAGGGGACCCCTGGGTTCAGATCTCCACTCTCCATGGTACCCAGTTTGGTGTAGTGGTTAGAAGCATGGACTCCAATCTGGGAGACCCAGGTTTGATTCCCCACTCCTCCACATGCAGCTGCTGGTGTGACCTTGGGTCAGTCACAAGTTCTCTCAGAGCTGTTCTCTCAAGGGCAGTTCTCAAAGAGCTCTCTCAGGCCCACCTACCTCACAGGGTGTTGTGGGGAGAGGAAGGGAAAGGAGATTGTAAGCCGCTCTGAGATTCCTTTGGGTAGTGAAGGGCAGGGTATAAATCCAATCTCTTCTACCCACTGACTGGATGATCTTCTTGAGCCAATCATATTCCTTCTGTCTTCCTCAACATTGCTCACAAGGTTGTTTTGAAGACAGCACAGAGGAACGGGGACATTGTGTCTGTAGCATGGATGGGAATACATAGTGATTTTTTAAAAATTCAGATTATTCATATACTTATTTTTTCTGGTTTTATAAATTTTTTATATTAAGAAGAGAAGAAGAAGAAGAGATTGGATTTATACCCCGCCCTTTACTCTGAGTCTCAGAGCGGCTTACAAACTCCTTTCCCTTCCCCTCCCCACAACAGACACCCTGTGAGGTGGGTGGGGCTGAGAGAACTCTGACACAAACTGCTCTTTTTCAAGGACAGCTGTGCCAGAGCTTGTGGCTGACCCAAGGTCACATCAGCAGGTGCAAGTGGAGGAGTGGGGAATCAAACCCGGTTCTCCCAGATTAGAGTCTGCACACTTAACCACTACACCAAACTGGTTTTATTAGGATTTAATAACAGCCTACTAAGTGGTAAGGCCTCTCCTTTGCAGGCTAGAGTGTCTTTCTAGCTAATGCTAGCAGACAAGAAACAACATTCTTTTTTTTTTTCTTTTTTTGCTTTTCAAGTTGTTTGGAGGAAATAGCTAATCTATTTTGTTTTAGCTAATCTAATCTGTTTTAACAGGCCTTCAGTGTAGTATTGCTGGTACAGCAGAAGACAGGTTTTTCAATAGATGTATTTGCTTGAAGTATAAGGTTTGTGGTTTTAGTTGTTTGGGGTAAACTCTGCAGTGTCTGGGTCAACAAGGGCTTTAGGTTCATATCAGAAAACAACACCTTTTGTTTGGGTATGAAGAATCCTTGGGTATTATTAATAAAGTTAGGTTAAATGAACATTTAAGATGTCATGTAGTCACACCTTTTCCTGTAACTGACCAGTGAAACTGACCAATGAATGAATGACTACTCAAATGATGCGCTATCATTTTGTGACCAATTGTGATTTCTGGATGTTATCTTGTTGTCTATGTCATTTTGGGTATAAAACTTCATGTACTTCCTTATACTGCTCAGAAAGCCGTCAATTTTTGATAGGCTGGTTTGGTTTCAGTTATCTGATGCAATTAAATAACCAAATAACTTTCCTCCTCATTGTGGCTTCTTTTTGGGCTTGGGAATCTATTTGTACAACACATCTGTCTGCCCTGAGCACTTTTGGAGGGAAGGGGAGGATAGAAATGTACTGAATAACTTGCAGAACGTAATTGGGAGATTTGGCCATAGCATTCCAGGCCTCTTGGGTTTCCCCTTTCCACTGGGCAGGACTTGGCATCAGCTACGCGCTGCAGCCCTGCTTGTGAGGAGGAGCGCAGTGCTGTCTCACCAAAGATCCATTTGTTTCTGTCTCTCTTCTGCTCCAGGGAAAGAAATCCGGAGGGTGAAGCCCCGGCGGACTGCCTCCTTCTTTGGCCGCCAGCTGTCCAGTGCCCCTGCCTCCTATTCCGCTGTGCGGGGCTCTGAGAATCTGGAGCAGGGCTGACAGCCTTTGGGCACTGGGTGTTTGAAGGGATGGCTCTACTTTGTGGGGCTGAGATACCAACCTGCTGACTCTCTTCTTGGGTCAGAGGCAGTCTGTAATACCCTCTTCTTCCCTCTCACCCTGCCCCAATTATACATTTTATGTATGCTAAATTATTTTGTCCAGTCTGAGTTGTGCTCTGTGTGGAGTCAGAGCAGAGTTACTCAAAACAGGCATTGGCCTCCCTTTTGGGACTTTTGACTGTTTCTGACTTGGTTCCTTGCACGCAATGAAGGGGCTCTGGAAGTCCAGGCTGCCACGAGCCATGAAGAGCCTTACCCTCCTCTGTCTTTGACTAAGGATTCCGTGCCGAGTCCCTTCTCTGTAATTTATTTTGGGTTCACGTTGCTGCTTTTTCCGTTTCAGTGGTCCGGCCCCAAACGCTGCCTCATTTCTATCCCTGTCTTGTAGCAAGCTCTTCTTTTTGGAGGGGGAAAGGTTCAGATGGGCCTGTCAGGGCATCTGAAGTCGCTACGGAGGAAATTTCCATTGGCGTTGCTGGAAAAAGCAGGGCTTGAATAATTCATGGCAAGTTGTGTCAGGTCTGTTTGCCCTGCCCTACCTCATAACCTCTCAAGATCCTTCTTTTTACAGGTGTTTATACTTTCATGCACCAAAAATCTACTTTTGCTTCTTTTTTTTGTTACAAATGGCTCAGTGACTGTCTCCTCAGAAGTGAAATCTAAAAACACTATGGGGTTTTGGGATTCCTTGCGTTTTTAGCTTTCTTTCAAAAGCTCATTTTATATTCTAAGAAAAACTCTTGCAAAAATAGTGTCTTTGGGAAATGGCTTCCCTTCTGTTCTCTGCTGCTTATGTGTGGTGTCACGCAAGCCTGGTGGGTGCATATTCACAGCAGTCAGAGTTGTGAAGGCAGCACCTGACGGCTCCACTGCATGCTCACTCCTTCCCCACATTGGGCACTGACAAAAATTATTTTTGTTAAATGGGCCTCTGTGTCACCTTGAAGTTCTTCTGCATTCATCCACAAATGCTTTCTTATCACAGGGGAGTAAGCTGAAGCCAGCTACATTTTTGCTGTGGGTTAAACACCAGTTGGGAAAGAAAGGAACATCCTGTTCCTTTCATTTTGTTTTTGGGTGTCTAGGAAGGCATCACTATGTTTGCCAGTGAAAAAGGAAAAATCGCCAGACTGTAGTGTACAGTCACTCGCCTTTTGTGTATTTGCCCCAATTGGCGGCTGCCTCCTCTTGCACATATTGGGGTATACCTCACACTAATACACACGGCCACCAACCAAAATGGATGCAGCTCGATTCTTGTGGAGAATCCAGTTACACTTTAAACATATTTTTTAAACTAGAAAGTAAAATGACAACCCTTTGAAGGCTGTTTACTGCTGTAGTCGTGAGGGGAAGGGAAGCCATGCCTTCCTTCCCCAGACGGCTTAGGTTCCTTTCCTGGGAAAGGGAGGGTAGGGGAATTTGGACTTGGCTGTTTTGGTGCTGCTTCTGTGCTTCATCTTCTACAAGGTATCTTCAGTCCAAAGACATGCTCAGTGGTAGGTGTCTGGTCAGAAACTCACCAGCTTTGTTGTCCGCCAGCTTCTGGGCAGCTCTGGTTGGTCATTGATTTAAATGGCAGGCCCCCCACCCCCAACTGAAGAACATGGTTGGAGGTTTTTTTATTCTGGGCCCAAAACTTGTGACTGGCTCCAAGTGTGTTCCAGTATCTTTTTCACTCAGTTCTCAAGGGTATCCACTGGTCTGGCAATTCAAGCATTATGGGAAGAATAATGCTTGCTAAAAAAATGCCTGCTCCCCTCCCCAATGAATCTCTTTGAGTTCAGGCAAGTGCCTTTTATTGGAAAGAAATTGTGCCTTTTTACTTAATCTCCGTTTGCAGAGTGTATATACAGTTGTTAACTTTGGACAGATATTCTTTATTGCAATAAAGACAGTGGAAAACAAACTGTCGCATGTTTTTAAAAGTCCTTACCGTTTCTCCAGATGCTGGATGACGTTTTGTTTACACAACACAAGATTTAAACACAAGGATGATGGTGGCCAGCAGTCCTTGGCTCATGGTAAACGTCTATACTGCCAATAAACTGTTTTCCCTACGTCAGCCTGAAAAGATCTTGGTGCTTTCTAAAACAGCATGGCTATTATGGGTCTTCTGCAGCCTGAGTTATCTCCTGTGGCAAGGGCTCACAACCTTTTTTTAGCCTGCAGGCACCTCTGGAATTCCCACATCGCTTGGTGGGTACAGCCACAAAATGTTTCCCACAAAATGGCTGCTGCAGGAGGGGGAGCCAGCCACAAAATGGCTGCCACAGCTTGCCTTTAGACACATAGTGAAGATCCTTGTGCTGTGGTGACAGCTGCTGCCAAAATAACGATTAAAAAAATCTGCACAGCCAGTCAGAAACTTTGCTAGGCAGAAGCCTCATTTCTCCCCACCCACTTTCTAAAAACCCTTGGTGGGCACCTGGAAAGATGTGCCTGTAGGGACCCCTCTCATATGGGCTAGAATGTGACCTATAATCCTTGTCTCCTGACTCCCCCCCCCCCCCCCCTTTATCTTGCCACTGAGGTACATGGGGTGAATATATTACCTGATACTATTTGTGAGAGTGGCTTCTGCTGATTTCTTCCACTGCAGACCACCACCACCCCATTTCCCCCTAGTGAGTCACAGGAGGAGGTGGCAGGAAAGTCCTACTCGGTGTCCAAATAATCTATAAACCTTTGAAACCAGTAAATTGGGAAGTGGGTCCCCCTCCAAAAGGTTTGAGCAAGAGTAGTTGCTGATACTGGTTAACGAGGAAAATGTGTGGCATTGTAGAGTGACCAACAAGGTTTCCAGGTCCTGGAAAACAAGCTTCTGCGGAAGCTTTGACTCTTGAAAACTTATGCCCTGGTAATCACTGATCTTTAAGGTGCTACTGTACATGCTGAGACCCACACCGCATCAGGCTGAACTTTGCTTCTGCCACCAGAAGATGATAGATCAGAACCCTCAAGTGCAAATAGCTAAGGTGCTCCTCCCCTCTGCAGTGTGTATATAAAATCGTGCCCATTCAGACATGTACGTACTTGCCCTGTGCTATGATAGCAAGAACATACTGAGGAGGGAAGCACAGGCCTGTTAGTTGCCATTTGGACAGCAATCAAGGATGAAGCATCCTGGAGAACTTGACCACTTGCATCATGTTGCGTGTTTTGGCTGAAGTATTGCATTACTTCTGTGTTTTGTTTTTTTTCTTTTCAGGACAGACTAGTGCCATTGCTGGGTGTGTTCAGAGTTCTTTTTAGCATACAATATGGATTTTTTTTGGTGATATATCCCTGCCAGGGGGCGCTGCTGTGCTACTTTCTCAGCTGCAGAAACAATCAGAGCAAGGATTCCTG